AGGATCAAGACAGGAACGGATCCAAGACTACGGGATGAACAGGCCGGTTTCCGGAAAAAAATCGCTCAACCACCGACCAGATTGCCACGCTGAGGATTATTGTGGAACAGTCCCTGGAGTGGAACTCCCAGCTGATTGTCAACTTCCTTGACTATGAGAAGGCCTTTGACAGTATAGACCGAGCGACACTATGGAAGATAATGAGACACCACGGAATCCCACAGAAGTTGGTGAACCTCATCAAGAACATGTACGAAGGGACAAGTTGCAGGGTTGTACACGATGGCCAGCTCACGGACAGCTTTGACATCAAGACTGGAGTGAGACAGGGATGCTTACTATCACCGTTCCTCTTCATATTGGCAATCGACTGGCTGATGAAGGAAACCACCAGAGGACACAGAAATGGTATACAGTGGACACCATGGACACAGTTGGACGATCTGGATTTTGCAGACGACTTGGCGCTTCTGTCGCACACCCAGGAACAGATGCAAGCAAAGACTTCAGTATTAAATAGCCTATCGGAGTCTGCTGGATTGAGGATCCACCCCGGAAAGGTAAAGGTCCTAAGGACAGATGCACAACGAAAGGAGCAGGTCACAATAGAAGGAAAGGCCCTAGAAAACGTTGAATCCTTCTGTTATCCTGGGAGCATAATTGACAGAGAGGGAGGAACAGGTGCTGAAATAAAGTCCCGCATTGGAAAAGAACAGGCTGCTTTCATATCTTTGGATAGGATTTGGAAGACCAGAGAGATCTCACTTCGAACAAAGCTGAGGATTTTCAATTCAAACGTGAAGTCGGTCCTGTTGTATGGATGTGAGGCATGGAACGCATCATAGACTTGTATAAAAAAAGATCCAGGTTTTCTTGAACAGGTGTTTAAGAAAGTTACTGAGGATCAGATGGACAGACAGGGTCACCAATGTGGAAGTGTTAAGGAAAACAAGACTGATCCCAGTCAGAGATGAGGTATGAAAAAGGCGGTGGCGATGGATTGGACATACTCTCAGGAAGTCAGGCAGCTGCATAACAAAGAAAGTTTTGGATTGGAACCCACAGGGCAAGAAATCAAGGGGAAGACCTCGAGGAACTTGGAGAAGAATCACAGAAATCGATGTACAGAAAAGTGGGAAGACATGGAATAACATCAAGAGGCTAGCCCAGGATAGAGAAAAGTGGAGGGTGTTTGTCCCTGGCCTACACCCTGATGCAGGGTGAGAAAGGCAATGATGATGATGATCTTAGTTTTTAACTCTCAAAATCCACCCATCAAAAGTGATTCTGAATAAATTCGTTTTATTTATTCACTTTTCTTTTTAAGTGTACATTTCAATATTTAATTATAATCTTTATGACACTTGCAACACAATAAATATATCATTTCAGTGCCGAAGATTAGACGTGTTACCGGAGAGTATCATACTAACAAAAGGATGACAAAAGGTCGATAAATGTCTGAATGGAGAAATAAACCACAACAGAGAACCCGCCAAAAACCCACTCACCACCAGCATCTGTCGCTTCTAAGAAAAATTCATCTCACTTCAAAGCAACTCAAAGAGTTTAATGCTCAGTCACACGCCGTTTCGTCAATATCGAAATCCAACGTTGTGTATGAAAGATATCCTTTAGATTTCAACAGTGAAAGAAAAGATAGTGTTCACAAGAGTGGGGTTAGGGGCAGCCGATCCCTTTTAAATTCTAATGCTTTGGGGATTAATGTTCTTAATCATGTGCCAGTGAATAGGGTTCTTTCTGTACTTTATTTTTCTTTCTCCCTTTCTTTTTTTCTGTCTTAGTGTCTGTCTGTCTGTCTTAGTGTCTGTCTTAGTGTCTGTCTTAGTGTTTGTCTGTCTGTCTGTCTGTCTGTCTGTCTGTCTGTCTGTCTGTCTGTCTGTCTGTCTGTCTGTCTTAGTGTCTGTTTTTGTGTCTGTCTGTCTGTCTGTGTGTGCGTGTGTGTGTGTGTGTGTGTGTGTGTGTGTGTGTGTGTGTGTGTGTGTGTGTATGTGTGTGTGTGTATCTTTTTCTCTTTCTCTCTCTCCATCTACTCCCCCACCCCTTTCTTTTTCTCTCTCTTTTATCTCAGTTTCTCAGTCTCTCCTCTCTCTCTCTCTCTCTCTCTCTCTCTCTCTCTCTCTCTCTCTCTCTCTCTCTCTCTCTCTCCCTCTCTCTCTGTGTCCCTCCATATTCCCCCCCTCTCTCTCCATATTCTCTCTCTCTCTCTCTCTCTCTCTCTCTCTCTCTCTCTCTCTCCCATCCCTCTCCTTATCTCTCCCTCGATCTCTCTCATTCACTCTCTCGTTATCTCCGTCTTTATTTATCTCTTTCTCACTTTTCTCTTTCTCTCTCCGTCTCTCCGCCTCTCTCTTCCACTTTTCTCGCTATCTCTCTTTGTCTATCCCTCTCTTTCTTCATCTCTCTCACTCTTTCTCGCCCTCACTCTCGTTTTGCCTTTAAGCTTTTTTGTATGTCTATTTGTCTCTTGCATCCATCTCCTTTCGTCTTTACATTCTGTGTATCATTCTGTCTTTTTGTAATTTTCTATTCCCGATATATATAATTTTTTTGGGGGTAAAACGTGCGAGCTTCTTTCTTTCTTCCTTTCTTTCTTTCTTCATTTATTTATTTATTTATGGTTACTGTTTTACGCTGCTCGCAACTGCATAAGGTCGTATGAGCGTGCGGGACACATTAAACATTTTCCTGTCGGTAGGAATTTTTGAATTTTGACCGGTTTGCAGCCGAAGCCTACTGTTATCGATTTTTGGATCACCAAGGGATCTTTAATATGTGCAACTTTCACACGAGACCTCCGAGATTTTTCGGTCTTATCTGAGAAGGGTAGGTGTACTTCTTACCTAACATAAGATCAAGGGTGTGACTGAAAGACACAGCAGTAAGAAGGAGCCAAAGAGCAGCAGTAGAAAGGTTGCAAACGGAGTCAGCAGCCCAGAGGAGGGGGCAAGGAGATGAGGGGGTGGGGACAGAAAGTGGAGACAAAAGCAGACGACAGAAAATTGTTAGAAAGCAGGAACTGATGTCGAAGGAGAAAATTTTAGATAGTAAAAATTTCCCGTCGTTATCTGAATTCGAACCCGGGGCCTATTGAATGAGAGGCGAACACCTTAACCTCAAGATCAAGAGACCCCCCCAACTTATTTGGTAACATAATATACATAAAATATATGTAATTATATTACTTTTCTTTAAAGCGTCAAACTTCGGTCTTACCTTAGTATAGCAACAACATCATCAACAACAACAACAACATAAACAACAACAACAACATCATCTTCATCTACGACAACAACTACAACAACAGCAATAACAACAGCAACAACAACAACAGCATCAACAACAAGAAAAACCAAATGTGCTGAGGGGAAAACATAGAGCAGTTATTGATTACCTTAAGAAAATTATCATATCTCTTCTTAGGAGCGCTCCCTTTTCCAATGTTATACAATCCATTGTTTGGTGAACAACAGACGTAAAAACTGCTCCTTATTCAGGAGTCCTACGATTGGGAGCCCGGATAGGTTTATTTGCGGACATGTTTACATACCAAACGTTATGAATAATTGTATTGACTCCTGTCATAAGAACTCCTGTCATAAGACCACATTCCATATGATTGAACGTTTTGATCACTCCTCCGTGTATTGCAGGGGGAAAATGATCAAACAACAACTGTGTTCTTATCTTATTCAATAACTTATTGATTGCTAATCTTTTTGTCTGAAGAAACCACCTGGTGTCGGTAGACTATTTAGGTTCTTTGCTGATGTACGCAAAACGGGTAGATTCGAAACAGGGGTGAGGAGGGGAAAGAAATGAGATAGGGGAGAAGAAGAGGAAGAAGAAAAGAAGAAGAAACACAGCGACGAGAAATAAAAGGAGGAAGAAGATGAGGGGCCGTGAGGAGGAGGAGGAGGAGGAGGAGGAGGAGGAGGAGGAGGAGGAGGATTAGGAGCATCCGCTAACCACCATCATCCCTATTGTTACCCGCTATCACATAATTGTTTCTTAGGCTACTTCTTGTCTCTGACTTTGCAGAACATCTATGGTCTGGACCCGAAGGAAATGATCAAGGGGAACTATTTGGGCTTCGAAGGACCTTCTCTTAACCCTATCGATTCTTACGCCATAGGCCAGGCAGCATTTTCAGGTACTTCTTATTTCTTATCTAAGCCGAGGCATAATGCTCCTAAGCCGAGGCTATGGTCTTTTTCAGTGCAGTACTGCGTACTTATAAGTGGGTCTTGGATTCTTGGAGCTAACAACTTCAGTCTGAGAAGAGACGCAAAAAATGTATATTTGCAGTTGTAGCAGTTTTACGTCCCTTCGACACAACTTGAATATTTAGGAGGTGGGTTGCTTCGAACTGCACGTCAGAGCCAGCCAGGGCTGATATGGTTCAACGTCTCGGCAGCAAGACGGAGGCACTTGATAAAAATTCTTCCCGCACGGGAATTGACGTCGTTCTGTGTACAACATCGATGTCGTTAACCTCTAAACGACAGGCGCCGGTGAAGTGTCCGACAGAGATAGGGTATTTGTTTTAGTGAGCGTTTATTTTTTTTGTTGCTGTAAGGTTTTTACGGCGCTCAGAATTGCATAAGGTCATATAAGCGCCAGTGAGCGTTTTACAGCACTTTCCACACACTTAGGTCATATTAGTGCCAAGATTATAGGAGTTACAAGAGAGTAACAAACACATAAAGTAGGAGAGATAGGGCCTACTTCCTCTACATACTTCAACATAAGTTAAGGACCACTTGCAAATTTGTCTAAAATTCCACGAGGATTTCCGTGCCGCACGTTGATTTTTTCCCCTTTCAGGAAACTTTGCAGTACGCATTGTTAGCTCATTAACACTTTCAGAGTAAAAAATAATTGAAACAGTCCTTGCTGTTATGTGTAGCTTTAAGATGATATTTCAACTCGCAAAAACCATCCATACACCACCGTCTCGTGTCTCATTTTTCAGGTGGGAAATATAAAGAGAGTATTGATTGGCTGGAGGTGGCCTTGCAACTGAGTGAAGACGAGTCTGACCAGAACGATATGCTGGACATCCACAGTATGGGCAGAGTTGGGAAGAACAAAGACAACAACGGTATAGAGCCCGACTCCGTCAGGGCTCTCCTTGGCCATGCCTTTCAAAGGGTCAGTTTCTGTCCTTGTATTTGGTCGCTTTGATGCACAAGGGGGCTATCCCCCAAAAATGCTGTTTTAAGAAAATCGAAAGTAATGTTTTTGGACCCATGTTCATTTCTTTAAAACACTAGGAGAGTTTTCTCTATTACCAAACAAATATACACACCAAAGAAACCAAACTTCTCCTATAGGTACGGCAATGCCCACTTTTGGTGTAGGTCAAGATTTCTGGAAACACCCGACATCTGGGTGAGTCCGCTTGTCCTTAAAAGCGACCATTTGTAAATATTCTACAGCCCAGTAGGCACAATTCGCTACATCAGAATTATAAAAGTTCTACTGACATTTTGGCATTTTTTGAGTTACTAAGATCGTGAGACCAGAAACCAAATTAATGTTCTATCTGCTCTATCAAAATGGTAAGAATATCAAATTTTACGTTATCAAGATATTCAGATAATTGCATTCGAAAAAACTTGATATAATATTGTGAAACTGAAAAATTTGACGTCCAATTTCTTAAAGCTAGGTATGGAGCAGATAGAACTTTGTAATTCAGGGGTAGGGATTTGTATGGCATCGTGGTGACGTCAGGTGCTCGTCAAAATCATGGAAGAAATCGACATTTTGCTGTCCTGATTTGTTTTGTTTTGTTTTGCTTTGTTATTTTTTGTTTTGTTTTTGCTTTGTTTCAGGCCCAACCATTGCTATGCTCATTTCAAACAGATATTTTTTTGACTTTACTGAAAAACATTGATAAAGAGAACACAGTTGTAAATTTAATAGTTTCCAAGGACACCACAGCTTTAGAAATCATCAAACTTTAGGGACCAGTTTCCCACTAAAATAATAATTCAGCCTCAGACACCAGGTGACCTCCAGGTCCTTCATCGCAAGTATCTCAGTTTCATTCTAGATAAATGGGTTTTTTAAAAAAAATCATCAGAAGCAAAGCAAATGAACAGGGTTTAATTAAGATTATAAGAAAAAAACTTCATTTGCCCAACCCATCGAGTCACAATACATCCTTCAGAGGCGAGCTGTTTTTGACCCTGCCTGTCAGGACCAGCCCAGGCTGAGAGGTATACTATACTGCGTCTCATCAGACCTCTCAATAAAAGTGTCCTCTTAACTTTTGGAGGGGCCATCATCATCATCATCATCATCATCATCATCATCATCATCATCACCATCATCACCATCTTCATCATCATCATCATCGTTGTTGGTGAAAAAGCAGAGTGGGTAGGGAGAATATTGGTTAATTTTCAGACAGTAACTTAAAAAAAGAATTTAAAAAATACCACCACCGCAACAACAACAGCAACAACAATGACAGCAACAACAACTGCACCATTACTAATAACATTGTATTAACCATTCTATTTCAGCTGGGTGATCCTGCAACAGCTAGAAAATGGTTGGCTGAAGCAAGACGAGAAGGTAGCAAAACTTTTCAACCATATTCTTTCTTCTTTTTCCTATTTCTTCTTTAAAAAAAATTAAAGCCACTTTACGTGCCGGGGTGTAGATCTGTGGCGCTGTTTTCTCCCCTTCTTTTTTAAAAATCTCTTGCCCAATTATGAGATTGAAGCTATCTGATTAGTAGAAAAACAATGCGTATGATAGTGTCCAATAGTGTATTACGTGCATACTTAGTATGACAAGTAACTGTTACAGTTAGAGATTTAAGGATTATAGATGTAAGTGATTGATCTGAGAGCAATGCTGATTTAGAAATAATGGTGGTGATGAGTGATGATGTGGGATTGCGTTTAAGTAATGTTAACGTTAGTCCTTTTTTCCTCTGCTCCAATGAGTCACGAAGGACGTGGGCACCTCTATCCCGTTCCCTACTGGAACCATCTTTAATGTCACCGTGAAGATCCGTCCTGGGGCGCTGTTATTCTAGTGGGTAGGCTACCGGGCTGGTAATCATGAGTTTGTGAGTTTAGGGTTCGAGGCGCAGCTCGGTCCAACGTTGTGTCCTCGGAAAAGGCACTTCAAAGATTTTTTCTTTTATATTTGGCTAGGTCCTATCGGAAGTGGACGTAAAATTCAGAGGTCTAGATTCTTAGATAACCTTGTAGTGTTACACGGGGGTGTTATACCTATAACTTGGTTTATATATTTTTTCTTTCTCTCGGAAATTAGATTAGTGAATAAGGGTAATCAATATTTTGTCTTGCAACACTTGAGCGAAACCGGTTAGCAGAACGGATTAAAACAGCGGTCGAAAGATCTTACATTTTTGTCGAAATAATCTCTGTCAGTCTACTTTCCTGTTTATCTGTCTGTATCTTTCTTGCTCTGTCTGTTTCTGTCTCT